GGTTATTTGGACTCCATACCGTATTGTTTTAGCTGCAGCAGCTTGCTGTACAAATACAGGGAAAGATCCAGTCATCTCAGTCATCTTTGAATCTGACAAAATTGTATAAGGTTGTCAATAAAACTTTTCATGAAAATGACTGTGACAAGTTAGGGCTCATTTACAAAATTATAACACATTCACTGATGGGTTGTGTAACTGTATCAGAAACTGCAGAAAGGCACCAATTAAAATATGAAAAGGCAGCCATAATTGGTCAAAAGAAAGAGGTGTATATTAAAGGCTTTCACAGCGCACAACCAAACTCTAATGTCACCTTTGCTGATTTGATGCTGGTGTTCTTTTTCTTTAATAGGCCTCAGTAGAGCCACCAAACCAGTCAGTAGAACTGCCTTCACATCATAATGCTTCAGGTCTAAGATGAGTTTAATGGCTGTCAAAGATATAAAGAGACAAATCCAGAAAAGCTGATTAATAATAACAGGATCGCAATTTTTCATCGATAATCACAATGGCTGATGGAATGATTTGTTATTTCACAGGATACAAAGAAATTTCAGGATAAATTTAAAAATTAGCGTGTCAGCTTACCTTCATCCTGAACTTCCAGGTGTAGGGATCTGAGTGTGTTAAGCAGAGGCTCTACAATGCTGTGATGGGCTGTTTTCATTTTTCGCTGCAAGAGAAAAAATGTTTAAAACTAAAAATCAGTTCTGCAAGACACAGACTGACTGCAGTAATATACAGCTTTGTGCATACTATGTAAAATGGCCTGTATTTGTATAGCGCTTTACTAGTCCCTAAGGACCCCAAAGCGCTTTACACAACCAGTCACCCACCCATTCACACACACATTCACACACTGGTGATGGCAAGCTATATTGTAGCCACAGCCACCCTGGGGCGCACTGACAGGTGGCTGGCTTCACCTGGATGATACATAAGGTGTGCAGAATGAGCTGCAGGGATTTAGGTGAGCTACAAGTCATGCAGGTAATCAGATATTTGTAGACTTGGTCTTGATATCTGGGATTTCCGTGGGACAGGGACTCCAAAAGGACCGACGCTGCCTCTTTGGTTTCATCTCTGTTTGATGTGGACAGGCACTCGCCTATGACTTTAACACCTGGAAACAAAGCAAAAGAAGCATTACTGATAAAAGAAACTATATTGTAGGCTGTTTTAAAATCTGATCTAAAATCTAAAATAAATTTACATATGCCACAGACAAATGTGAAATTTACCGTGACTTTCACAGATGATCTCCTTGTACTTGCGACCTGCTTTTGAGACAGTGAGTAGAAGTTTGATGGCTCCGGCCTTGTCATCGTCTTTGCTCTGAGAGTGGCTCAAAATGTCCAGCAGAGTGAGAACTCC